ACGTGGAGCGAGGAGAAGAGACAAACACAAAAGTAACTGTATAGCATGCAGCGTAGTAAAGGAAGGCTTATGGAAATCCAGCTGAAAGCAGTTAAGAGCAATTGCTGGGGGGAGGGGGGGCAAGGGCAACGTACGTAACCTAAACATCTGTACCCCCATAATATGCTGAAATTAAAAAAAAAAAAAAGCAATTGCTTCTGCATCGTTGGTAGGACTGACAGTAGAATTTGGGGATGATTTTACAGAGGAAGTGCCACTTAACCTAGACATTAAAGATGGAGCAGGATTTTTTCAGAGGGACAAGTTGGAGAAGATAATTTCCAGTGGAGAGAACAGCAGGGGCAAATGGGAGGCATTAATCTGTGTGGAATGTTCAGGAAATGGTCAGTCACCTGCAGCTGGTGCTGGGGGTAGGGTGGGTTATCCAGATTCTGTATTAGGTGCTGATGGCGAATTAGTCAAAGATAAAATGGAAAATGCTGGTTGGGGCCTGATTGAAATTACTTTTTAAAATTGTACTTAAGAGTTTTATATATTACTTAGCGAGGAAGATGTTTTAGCAGGTGAGTGACATGTGATTTGGGGCTTAGAAATCTGGCTCTGGCAGCTTTGTGAAAGACTGAGGGAGGCAAGACTGGAGCCAGGGAAATGTAATTATGGTGATGATGGGATGCGGGCGGAGGGGCTCAATCATCCAGACACCTGCAAGTTGCATTTCTCTAAAAGAAATAGTGCCATCACCTGTTAGAGGAGACAGATGGCAACTGCTACTCTCGACCTAAGCTATTATAATAGGGAGGAAGTGGTTGGCAAGTAAAAATAATAGGACTAGCGGGAGAAAAGGTCCATGAAATTTTAGAGCTCATGGCAATCAAATCTTTAAGGAGGTGGATGTTAAGTAATTCGGAGAATAGACAATATTCCATGTCATGAGACTGGGAGGAAGAAGGCTTGAGAGACCCGGGAAGCTAAAACGCAGTTTAGGGAAAGGATCCTAACAGGAAGGAAAGGAGGAGGTGCCTGAAGAAGCTGGTGTGATTGCACGGAAAGCTGTCTAAGCTCACATTCCAAAAGGGCGCATACAAGAGGGGCACACGGGAGGTGAACAGATGAGGGTAGCACAGGCTTTTAAGAGCAGTGTTCGCAAAGCTAATGTGATTAAAAGCCAAGATTGTAAAAATGCAACAAGGAAGGGTTTTCAACGTTATGCGGGAGTATGAAGAACAAGGAAGTCTTCTGCTTGGGCTGGATGGTGCAACACCAGATTTATTCATTCAATGCTCAGTTATCTTTTGTGTGCCTGCTGAGGGCTTTATAGGCAAAGGGGAAGCGGAATGCTTAAATTCTTATTTTCTTTTGCCTTTGGCAAAAAGGATGGTTTTTCAAAACAAATAGAATAAAGTGAAGTTGCCACGAAAAGCCCTCACTAGGTAGAGGTTTTCGGTAGGTCACTTGGCTCACATTGCTTGGTTGAATCACATTCCTTGGCCCTGCAGGAGCTTGCACATGAAGTCACTGTTAGTGATCTTTGAGGATTTGAGGAGAAAGGAAAACATACTGATAGGAGATGGGCAAATTAACTTTCAATAAAGGGCAGGTGTGTTTTGCAAGTCATGAAGTAGTAACCTTGAGGTCAAATTCAGGCAAGATTCTAGAGCTTTTTATTGTAGTTTTTGTGAAAAGTGTGGTTTCTGCTTCAGATCCCAATTTTGCCAGTTTTTAAATGAACTTAGGAAATAACAATCTTTAAGTCTGACTTTCTTCGTCTATAAAATGAAGTGTAATAGTACCCATTTACTAGTCAATTTAGAGGATTGAATGAGATTATATATAAAGTTCTAGTACAGGATCTGGCCCATTCAATAAGTGGTAGCTGTTGAAAACCCATGGGCCTCTCCAGATGCAAATTTATTCTGTTTATTAATGGAAGTTTAGCAGGGTGTGGTGACAGACACCTGTAGTGTCAACTACTCCAGAGGCTGAGGCAGGAAGATCACTTGAGCCCAGTTCAGAGCTTGTAGTGATTGCGCCTTAAATAGCCACTTCACTCCAGCCTGGGCAACATATGGAGACCCTGTATTTAAATGAAAGAATGAATGAATGGAAGTTTGAGCACTTCAAAGAAATGATGAGCTAGCGTGAATTTACATCTGGAAAGGCCCATGGGTCTTTGACCTGTTGAGGTTCTTTCATTTGATGCTTTTCAAATTAACATGGCACATATTTGTCAAAAGGGTTGGAAACAATACAAATATACATACCCCTCCCCAAATGTTAAGTGAA